TGCCCTCCCTTCACCCCCTCCACTCTTCCCTATTTACAAAGACTTTGTTTCCATTTTTTCCTTTTCTCATATTTTTTCTTTTCCCTTCTTTCCTTGCCCCACCCCTCCCATTTCCTCTACTCCTTTAGACCTTTTCTTCCTATTTCACAATATCAATTATAAAATGGAGCACTACTCAGCCATAAAGAATGAGAATCTAGAGACATTTATAGCTAAGTGGATGCACACTGAGACCATACTCTTAAGGGAAATAAATAGGACACACGTGTAAATACTGAATAGTTTCTCTGGTTTGAAAAACTAAAAGTGTAAGTAAGGATCAAAATGTATACTCCAGTGATTTTTAAATTGGATTCCTTTCATGCTGTTTAGTTGTTTGGCACCACTGGCATTTTAATTCAGTCATCTGTCATGCCTTGCTGAATGACTGAAATGTGCCAGGCACAGATCTAGACACTCTAGCAGCTGATGATGAAGCAGGAAGAAAACGGAGACAAATCCTGCCCCCTGGAGCTTGGGCTGTACTGGTGTGAGAAGGCGATCCACAAACAGATAGGTGAATGTTTGGAATGTCAGAGTGTGATCAGGGGTGCTAAGTGAAATAAAGCAAGGGAAGATGAAAATACTGATGAGCGGATGGTGAGAGAACGTTACCCCTTTCAATAGGTGGAGCAGGGAAGGCCTTACTAGGAAAGGGAAATTTTATAAAGTATATATTGTCCCTGGTATGGCCAGATGAGGGACTTGAGACTTCTAGGAAAGAATATAGAAAAAAGACTCCTAAAAAAGTCACTGTAGTAAAATTATTTGTTTCCTAGGTATATGAAATGAAGACAGAATAAGATTGTTCACATATCCAGGACAATATATTTTTATGGTAGTAAAGAGGATGAAACAAACTATGGACAGTGGAAAATAAAAAGATACAAGTGTATGCAATATATATATATATTTCTAAGTGGTTCTCCCAGGACCCCTGAGTTTTCAGAAGAAGGAGTTGTAGGTGTGAGCCCAATCTCTGAATGAGTCCTGGGCTCCCTACATTTCGATGAGACCTGTGCCTCTCATGCAAGCCATAGGCCATGAGGTCCTCTCCAAAGCTGTGCTGATGGTGGCACCATATCCTTGAGCCTCTAGAATTGTGAGCAGGGAACATCTCCCTTCCTCAGTATTTTTATTATAGGTACAGAAAATAGCCAAATACAACTCCCTATTCTTGACAGAAATCAATAGATCTTGCATTAATGATACCTAAAAATGGAGTTCAAAATTGCAATGATAATTTATCAACACTATCTTACCTGTGCTTTCCTTTCCTGTGTGCATGTCATAATGCAGGTACATGTGTCCATCTACAGAAATACATTTCTTTAATAGAGAGGAGCTTCCCTTACAACCAGCTATAAGTACTACTTTAGTACTTGCTTTTTAAAGGAAAGGCAGTTGGAATATACAACTCTGTTAATACTGCTGAAAATATGGAAAAACAATGAAGAAATTCTGTAAAATCTTTAACAATAGTGAAGAAAACCCATTTAGAAAGTGAATCCTCAATTCCAGGAGACGGTGACTGGACTGGTTATGAGGGCATGATAACACTGACTCACACGTGTGCCTCCCCAAGAACGGGTCCAATTCCTGCTGGAAACTGTGGGACCAAAATGAAATATCTGTGATGGTCTCTTTTTAAAGATAAGTTATTAAGGGCTGGGGATTTAGCTCAGTGGTTTTGCTGCCTGCTGCGCAAATGCAAGGATCCGACTTCGATCCCTGGTACTAAAAAAAAAAAAAAAGGATAAGTTATTAAGCTGCTTATGAGTAGGAATTAAAATTTACAAGGGAGCAAAGAATGAAGAAGAGAAAATCTAAAAGGGAAATCAGAGATGTTTATAAAATAAGAGCATAGGAAAAGGAGAAATAAAAACAGACAATAGGGAAAGTACCTCATAAAACAATAAATCTATACATACCTAAAATTGTAATGCTATTTTCTGGACTAATTTATAGTAATTAGAACATTTGTTCACCAGATGGTGGAGGTTAACATTTTTCTCTCTTGAAAGAGTGCTTGTGTGATCATGTGCCCTATGTAGCCTCCAGTGTTTGAAATCATTTTAAGTACTTCATGTTTTTGCACCACTTATGGGACTTACTAAAATCCACTGATTGATGCTTTGAAGCTATTTAAATCTTGAACTTGTACTTATCCTGTTTTTGTAAAATAGATGCAAACAACTTATAAGACTGTTATCTATATATTTTATTTTCATATTCGACCGGAACATTAATACAGAATATTTAGGTGGAAGAACATCTTGAGTTATTTATGTATATAAATCATGTGGAACTGGGGTAAAGGGCTTTTTAAAAGATACTCATTTTAGAAGGTGAATTTCTTTATTGTCTAATGAACAAAATATTATGCTAGGAAGCAAAAAATTTAGAACTGAATTTAGGTAACTTTAAAAATATACTTCCTCTAAATTCACTGTTAATTATCTAAGGTGTAACCCCCTCACACACACCCTTAGAACATTAGTTTGAGTAATATTTAGTGTGAGATAGAAATAAAAGACATCACAGTAGCAATACAAAAGTCTTGAATCAGATGGTGTTTTTTGCATTTGGAGGCAAACATCACCTTGATAAGCCTTGATGAGCATTTCCCAGTCCCCTCTCTCCTCTCCTGGGGCTTTGTCTCTCCTCTTTGTCTAATTACCTTATGAATCTCCATCCTACCAGGTAGACTCACACTAAAGCAGTCTACCATTATCCATCTTCCCTGGTTCTTCTTGCTGCCTAGAATACATGAGCTTTTAAGCTACATCATTAACCTAAAAACAGACCATAATACCTTTCTGACTGTACTTTTCCATGTTTTGTGAGACAGTCTAGTAAGTTTTCCCAACTTTTGTATTTCTACCATAGTTCTAGTGAGTGACTTTCATTTGGAATATGCTTAAATATAATTTTTACATAACTCTTTCTTTCTTTCTTTCCTTGTGCCTATCTTGTGGTCATCAAGATTATTAGCTTATTAAATGTCTTCACACCTCAGAAAACGCTGGAGGAGTTCCAGGATGTGTAAGTAACTAACTCACGGAGGAAGGGCGAGCCAGAATTCATGTAACTCAAGGAAAAGTTACAAAACAATGGAAAAGTAGAGAGATGAAATCCCCTGTAGCTATCAAATGGGAGGTTAGAGGTGGGACCAAATGAAAGACCCAGTGACTGGGGAAGGTTCTGTTGGTGGTGTTACTTCTTTCAAAATCACTGTGCTTCCTTCTGGCCTTGGGGTTCCATGTGCTTTGTTGCTCAGTGGTTTTGATATTATCAGGAAAGGCTTGCTAACTTATTCATTTATTTATTATTAATTGATTCTGTGCCCTTTCTAGGATGAGTCAGTTCACTTTGAGGAATACCAATACAAAGGACATGATAAAACTATCTTTATGTCCATTTTGTGCCACCTTTGATTCAGTGCAAAAATAATCTACCTAGAAATAGGCTACAAGAAGCAGAGAGAGGAGGAAATTCCTCATCACGTTGTTTACATTGCCTTTAGTGGAAATAGCTATCGTGAATATTTTTTTCTTATTTGTAATCATAATATTCAAGAAAGAGTTGAGGGAATATAGGGAGAAGCAAGAGCATGACAAAAATAAGAATATATGGGTGTGAATCACACATTAATGAATAAAGCTTCTACTAGCAGCCTGGTGAGAGATGCTACAGCTAACTTGCTGTAACTTACTGTAGGACTTTGAAGTTTTCATATTCTGACTCTGTCCAAGGCAGAGCTAGAAAGTTCACAAAACTTACAGATCTAGTAGAGAATTCTAAGTTGACCGACAGATTTCACTGGTCTTGTGACCTGGAACTGATGTTGTGGATTTACCTTCCAGTTACTTAGTAATGGAATTGATGGACGCCAACCTGTGTCAGGTGATTCAGATGGAATTAGACCATGAGCGGATGTCGTACCTGCTATACCAGATGTTGTGTGGCATCAAACATCTGCACTCTGCTGGAATTATTCACAGGGTAAGGACATTTACTACAGAGTTATAGCTAACAGTGTTTTGGAGAAGAGAAAGAACAGCTGTAAATCCTTTTCTTTAAATAGGGCGACTTGTTCAAATACAATGCACTTCCTGTTCCTTTGATAACTGAATTAGTTTATAGTTCACTAATGTGTAGCAGGAACTTCTAGCCAAACTATAGCTGACTTCGTGCGACATGTTTTGGTTCTGAGAGACCTCATGTTTTCTTACTCCTTGATTGGCTGAGGTTGTACAGGAAGGTGGAAAAAGGCAGTTGATTTCCACAGTTCAGTTCCACCAGCATAAAGACAGCTCCCCTGATGTGCCCTTCTGTGAGGTCTGGATTTGAAATACACACTGAAAGGTTTATGTTACCCTAAGGAGAAACCTGAGATGACAATAAATGGTATATTGTTTTACTTTTTTCTAAAACTTTTCAAGATGAGCCTAAATTGTGAAAATGATAGTACAGTTCTCTTAAGAATTTAAACATTTTTTGGAAGCTATTTTTTAAAAGCCCAAAAGGAGTTGTCAACTTCTCTGTAGCAGTAATCTTATGCCTTATACAAGGCTTTTGGAGGCAAGAGGGGACCCTGTAATACAGTGTTGATTGGGTGGATGAGATTCCATGTTCCACAGGGCATAGGATTTTAATGTCTTCTCACGTTCCCGTTGTCAGGATTTAAAACCAAGTAACATTGTAGTCAAGTCCGATTGCACGTTGAAAATCCTGGACTTTGGACTGGCCAGGACAGCAGGCACAAGCTTCATGATGACGCCGTACGTGGTGACACGTTATTACAGAGCCCCGGAGGTCATCCTGGGAATGGGCTACAAGGAGAACGGTAGGCTGCTCCTGAAACCAGGGAGAAAACAGGTGCATGGCTTACATAGCCAAGGGGAATGTTTTCTTTGTTAAATACGGGTTTTTCAGAAATAGAACTGCCAGCTTTTATATTCAAAGTTTGTTATTTTTAAGAAAAATACTACTGGGAAGAGTCACTAGGTCAAAATGTGAAGAATGTTTCTGAGAAGTAAGCTTTGCCTGAAGAGCATTGAAATGTTACAGCTGAAGAGAATTGTAAATGGAATTTGGTGAAACAGTCAAGGGGGCACTAATGAGCGCAAATGGCATAGATACTCAGAGAAATTGCTGTTTGAGTTGCAGCTCAGGTGAGAGTGAGTGTGGAAACAGCAAGACACCCATGTCATTTACCCACCTGGCTTTACATCACAGCTTAGAATGGGGGCTCCTGTCCTAGAAAAGACCAGCAAAAGATTCCTCACAAGCACTTGGTGAACAATGAACATGGGATAACCCATGTTACTGTTACTGAAGTTGGATAAGCAGTTTGCTCATACTTTAAAGTGCTCTGGAAGTAATGTTTAGGGCCTCAATTGTGTGATAAATTTTTATAAACTCCAGAGGTCATAGACAAGAAAAACATTACATTTTATATTACTAATTTCAGAAAGAAAATCACTTAAAAGGGTTTATTCTAATGTATTCAAATTGGATTTTAATTAATTAAAATGGAGAATTTATAAGCTACTTGCTAGAAAGCCTTAAAATATATGATTTTATCCAGAAACACTCTTATAAGTAATGTAGCATGTTAAACATATCTAATATCCTTAGAAATTAAAGTAGTTTTAAACTAGTACTGTATATATCTGCCCAATGTCCTTTCATATTTGTTTTTACATTCTTTTTAGTTCCAAGTAATCAATTTTATATATTCTATGAAAATAATTATCATTGTATTTTTATGTACATAACTACAGGGTATTTTATGAAAATTTCCTGGCCACTGAAGATAGCCAATACTTTTATGCATTTGTACAGAGGAAGGATAAAATCAGCTTTAAGAAGGGCAAGTTTGAAAAAAACCAAACAAATAAAAAACCAGGTGTGGTGTCACACACCTGTAATCTCAGCACTCTGGAGGGCTGGAGGATTTCTTTGAGTTCAGGGCCAGCCTGGGCTACATAATGAGTTCAAGGCCAGCCTGCCTGAATTACATAGTAAGACCTTATGCCCCTTCAAATAAAGGAAAGGGTAAATTCATCTAAGTGGCCAACGTCACAGGTGAACACAGCCCTCCTCCTGAGGAACTGGATTACTGAAGCTTTTCAAAAGTTACTTCTTTAGATTCAGAGGGGGACCAACTGAAGTCAAGAACTATGGGAAATAATGGAAAATGACTTATTGGGTATTTCAAGAAGGCCAGACCAGAGGGTTTTGCATGATGTGATAAGTGTCTGAAGTGATGGACATGCTGATCACCCTGACTTGATCGCTGTGCATTGTGTTCATGCATCACACATCACACTGTACCCCACACAGGTGTAATTAATATCTGTCAATAAAAGAAAGAAATCTAAGGGTATAGGCGAGCCGGGGTCTGAATTTGCCCTTTCTGGCTTTTTAGTCCTTTGCCCTGCAGGCTGCAGGTATTCAAACCCCTTTCCTCCTCTCACTAGGAAGGGTTGCACGTTGCTGGCTCAGTGTTTGGCTTCTTAGGTGCATGGTGAAGGGTGCAGAGTGGCCCTGTGCTGCCCTCCCTTGCACAGAGGAAGGTTCTGCAGACACCTGCTCGCTCCCGGGCATGCCTGTCATCCCACCCTGAACCCACCTTCCTTCCCCATGGAGCAGTGCAGCCTCAAGTTGTTGCCCCAAGTCCCCATTGTCCCCAGTGAAAGGTGAGTTGGGCATGGGTGAAGTTGGCAAGAGAAGGTGAGGCGTGATTGGTTAGCAAAGATGGCAGGTGAGAAGTAAATGTATGGTAGCATGTGCTTAACACATTTTAGCGCCCTTGATACCTTTTTTTCAACTTCACTCCTAGATGACTGCCTTATGCCCATGCTAATTTATCACATATCATATTTCTCTATTTCAAATAGAAATTAAAACAGATATTCACTTAGAAGTATAATTCCTGAAATAATAAGTCTTCATACTGGGAATTCCAGTTTACATGTGTAAAGCATGGCTCCAGCCATTTCCTAGTTCTTGGACTGGGCTGAATATGCCCTTATTTGGACACACACACACGCAGAGACACACACACATTACTTTGTAGTTGCCCTACTCTACATAACTGAGTAGAATATAAAATGGAAACTGCCACCTGTACAGATTAATTGAGGTGGTTGTTTTACATCTGACAAACAATATTAAAAATATGCCTGAGTGGCTTTTAGCTCTCACCTATTACAGAGATACTTTTGTTCAGCTACTGCTTTTCTGTGTCACTCTGGCATTAGCAGGGCAATCTTAGACATCAATATAGCAGTGCTCTTTAAAAAAACATTAATTGAAATGCTCATGCTTGACAGTGTTCATGTAGAGCACAGCGATGGTTTCTATACACCTGTTGACCACCCTTTGGTGGGAGGTGAAAATTGTACCTTCTAATCAAACTGTTCTTTTCCTCCTCCATCAGAGGTCATGACCTTAGTTAACTTTACTTTCCTCCTTTTTCTTCACTTCCGTTTCGCTCCTGTTCCAGTGGATATATGGTCTGTGGGATGCATTATGGGAGAAATGGTTCGCCACAAAATCCTCTTTCCAGGAAGGGACTGTATCCTTGTACCTTTTGCTGCAGCTTTTCCTGTTTTGTTTCTTCTCCTTTTAAACACATAATCATTTTTACCAAGAGAGTAAAGATAGAAACAAAAAGTTGGGTAAGTTGTAATTGTGATTTAAAAAGTGATAATTTCTATAACCTGACCAGTACTGCAGATTACCTACCCCAATGATTTCTTGTAATTAAATTTTCAATGCGATTTTTCTTCTTACATTACTTTCTTACTCAAAGTAGCAATGTTATTTTTGTTCATAAATGACAGAGGCCACCAGATCCCAAATGATTAGAATATAATTATCTTTATACTTAGCAAAAGAAGCCACTGTATACAAATCATTTTTCATCTCCTTCAGAAAAATGTTTTATGCTTCTACAACATATAGACATAATGAGTTCTCTCTTACACCCTAAGCTTCTGTCTATGGCTTCATTGATCAAAATTACTCTTGAAGGTGTATATATCTATATATCTATATATATGATATAGCTATATAGATATATATGGTATATATATAGATATATATGGTCTATCTATCTATATGGTCTTTTTTTTTTTGGTACTGGGAATCAAACTCGGGACCTTGTACTTGCGAGGCAGGCACCAGAACCACTGAGCTAAATCCCCAGCCCCTATCTATATGGTCTTAGATAGTTCAGTATATCCTCTTCAAATCCTGAATTTTCACATTTAAAAATCATTATTATTACTAAAATTATTGTAGGTCAGGCGAGTTTAAAATAAGCTTCCCTCTTTTGACCTCAAGATATGGCATAGAAGTAGATAATCACTTTTCTAGCTGCATTTAGAATTTCATAGGTCAGTGTGGATTTGAATTCTACCACTAGGTCCTGCAATAGATTTCATCCGAAATTTCTTAGACAGCTATTTATGGCTTGTAATTATCAGATAAATAGATATCGTTATCAAATGGCCAATAATTCACTCTCTAATAAAAGTATACATCTGTTTGTATTATATAGGAATAAAGTTTACACATTAATAGGAAAATATATATTGATAAATGCAGAAATAACTTGTTAACAAACACGAGCACAAATCTAAGGCAACTATAACTGACTACTTTAACAGTGATAATGCAGGGGGTCAAATTCAGCATATTTGTTACATATTAATTTGTTGGAAATTGGCAATAAAGAGATGTGGTGCATAACTCTGTTAAGTATTGTTTGATTAATAAAGCTCCCAGAGGAAACTTTTTATTATATAAGAACTGTGAGTTTTATTTCAGTAAGAAAATGGGTCAATAGTACAAAAATCTGACTAAATTAAAAATTATATCACCAAGGACATGCATTCGTATAGGCATTGTTCATTCTGCTGAACATTAATGAGATAATTTAAAAATTCCACTAAATGCAAAGATAGCTTCCAGCCCTTCACCAGCCAGTAGGGGGCCACTAGCCACAGGTTTACTTTTGGCAACTGAAACTATAGTATGAATCCACATGTGTGGTACATGGAAAATGTATACCACTTATTTAAGATAAAAAAGCATATAAAATATATCATCAATAATTTTATAGTGATGTGTATTAAAATGACAATATTTTTAATATATTGGGCTGAATTACATATTTTGTTAAAATTAATCTCACTTGTTTCTTCCAATGATTTTTGGAGAGAATCTTAGTGAACTTAAAATTGCATATATGAATTACATTTGTGACTGTTAATTTTTTCTTTTGGAGAGTTTTGCTTTAGAACATGGGATACACTGTTGCAGCCTTTTATTTACAATCAATCTTAATGTCTTAAATCATCATTTGCTTCATTTTTCTATATCTATATGGTGAAGTATCATTTTTACTAAAAAATTTTATATCACCTCCTTGAAAAACTTCATTTAACTTCAAATTACTCATTTATCATTTGGAAGTCAATTACATAGTCCATGTAGTTGATCTGAATGAACAATAATATAATCCACATTCACGTTTAAATTAACGGATCTCATTCAAATGTAGGAATAGTTTTCTTTGTATCTTTGCCTTTGGGGCATAATATATTTCAAATAAACAAAAGTCAATGCTCAGAGTGAAGTTCATAGCCGTGTCCCTCTAGTGCACTTGTTAGTGGAAGACAAAACGCTGCTGGGGTTCTCATTTCCATGTGGGGTTGCTGTTACTAGTCGCTGGATTTCCACGCAGCAAGCTCCTGTCTGAGATTTTAGTTCTCCATGCATTTACTACAGTTGTTTTTCTCCTATTTCAACAGTTTAAATTTAATTCAATGATATTAAGAAAAACGAAAACTTTTTTTTTTTTTTTTGGTACCGGGGATCGAACTCTTTGCTCTTGCGCAGCAGGCGGCAAAACCACTGAGCTAAATCCCCGGCCCACGAAAACATTTTTTAAAAACAAAAATAAACCCTAAAGAAAAACAATCAACCAATCATAACACTATTGATAATACTTCATTCTTCTCATCTTTCCTTTAATTCTAGTTTGTTCTAGGTTCTCATCTTTCCTTTAATTCTAGTTTGTTTTAGAAAAAAATATGGAAAGGAAATAAAATTGTGCAAAAATCGATAAGTAAAATTTATGTCCTTGATAAGTGTGATCCCAGAATTTAATCATTAATTCAGTGGTTAATGATGTATCTTGTGAGAAAGGGTTATAAGCTGTGTTCCTTCATCTTGGTGCTGATTCCATAAAGTTCAGGTCTCTGCTAGCCTAGTGCTGTCTGTGGCACTAAGCCTGCAAGCAGCAGTGAAAGGGGAAAGTACGAGACATTCAGAGCAGAAAACTTTTTACTTAAATTTCAACTCTGCTAAATTATAGATAAATAATTTTCAGTGAAATGAGTTAAAAGAGATACCATCTCTGAAAATGTTTCCCTCTGGATTTGTTTTTCATTCTACATATAATTAATATTATAATTTAGTATTTTAAGTCATGATGACATTTTAAAACTAAACCGTAGGAATCCCTATTAAATAATGGACTTTGTAGATTTGGAATAGAATTGTTTCATTAATCCATAAATGAAATTTGTTATTTTATGAATAGAGCTTCCTACCAAAAACAATTTAGACGATTGAACTCCCTTCACTCAACCCTGACCATCAGATACAAGGTTTGGGTTGTTTATGGGGAGGAGAATTACAAAATATTTTATCATATTAAAATAATCCCAGGATTTTCTGGAAGTAAAATCAAAGTTTAGTGTATGCTAAACTGATGCCCTAACTCCTTCCAACATCTTTCAGACTTAAAAAAATTCAGGTTCTCTTGACTTTCATTTAGCATTATAAAATTAATCATTATTAATTATTTCATATTGACAATAACATTAAATTACTCTAAGACTCAAAAAGATGTAATAATACTATATCACCCCAATCAATATTATTCCTTTCCCTTCACAGAACTTTTTAATGTGAACCCTAAGTAAGCATAGTGAAACACATCAGGACATCTTACACAATGGTCATTGATGACTGATGTTTTAACTTGAAACTATTTTTGCATATTGAAAAAGATAGTGGAGATATTTTGGCAGTTGATGTGATCCACATGATATCACAGGGTAATTTACTGATTACTAAATCAGAGTTGGAAAATAAATAGAATTTAACAACAAAAAATACATATTGGCTTTTCCACCCATTATTAATTTGCAAGTGATATTAATATTCAAAGGACTATTTCTAAAATATTTTTATTATGTAAAGAGTTTTAAAGTATGCATACATTCTCATACACTTAATTTTCACCCTAGTTTCATGTTGCAAACATATTTGATAGCATATGTTGGCATGATATGGTTTGCAGCATTACTGAACATCCTTAGACCCATGCACAGTTTCAAGCAGAGAGCAAAAAATGTGCCATGTCTACCTATTTTTTTTCAAAGAACAAATAAGAGCATTGATTCAGATTTTATTCCTTCCAATAATAATTTATGGTAAGATAGTTCTATGATGCTTTCTTAGGAGTTTTTCTACGGACTATCCAGTCACTCCATTCCTCCACCTACCCCGAGTCTCAGCTGGGCCAGACCCATACCACCTTCTTGATTACCCAGTATTTCTATGGTATTGGTTCATTTTCATGAGATCTTTCCTCAAGCCCACTTCATATATCCATATCTTCTTTCTACCTTGCTTTTTTACCATTCTCCTTCAAATAGCAGGACTTTCTTTGGGAAGCCTGTGATATTTATCTAGAATTGTTGGCCAGCAATGATCCAGATAAGCATGACACTATTTTGAAAATTCTAGATCTCAAGTGTAGTCTCTCCAAGTGAAGCAGCCAGTCAAGCTACACTTGTAATCCCAGCACTTCAGGAGGCTGTGTCAGGATGATGGAAAATTCCAGACTTGCCTATCTCAACATTTATAAAGAAAGGAAAGGAAAGGAGAGCAGGAAAGAAGAAAAGAAAGGGATAGGTTACAGAGCAGTGCAAAGGCCCTAGGTTCAGTTCCCAGGAAAACACACATGTGCATGTGCATGTACACACACACACACACACAATCACACACAAAGACATTTGGACTTCTAAAACATCTTTTCTTGCCTCTCCTTTTAAAGACACAAGAAATTTCAATTGCAGTGAAAAAAGACAGATCTATAACCCTACCAAAAGCCAAGGCATTAAGGAACAGAAAAATGAAATTATTTACCAAAAATACATATGTAGAAAGAAAGCAAACACTTGCAAATTAATGGAATGCCATAGCTTTAAAAAATTTGAACATGAGAAGTAGAAATAATAAAAGTAAAATGAAATAAAAATCGAAGGCTGCAGATTATTATATCCACCTAGTGCAGTGATATTTCTTAATCCTTCTTAACTCTGAAATAGCAGTGGTTACTTCCTAATAAACATTGTTATCAGTGCATAGCTGTATGGTCCAAATTTGTTCCTTAGTATCAGGATAATACAAGTTTAACTCAAATGATACAAAATTTATGACTTTAAATAAATTTGGGATGTGAAAACTCAGTAGTAATTCCTTCAATCCATAAAC